TGAAGCGGTATATAAATGAAACTGCTTTGCTTTGCTACCTGGATGGTGTGAGTTTTGATGTGCCTGTGTGACAAGCAGTCTCTTATCGCCATCTTTAGGGCCTGGAACCTGTCTGCAGGGAGATATGCCATAAAGTGCTTGGAATCCAGAATGGATCCAATGAACCTGATCCTTCTGGTGGGGCAGAGATTGGACTTCTCCATGTTGACCATGAGGCCAAGCAATCGCAACAGAGAGTGGGTGAACTCAATGTTCTTGATGAGTTCTTCTTGTGATGAGGCAACCAGGAACCAGTCATCGAGGTACAGGAAGACTGTGATTGCATGTTGGTGGAGGTAGGCCACAACCGGGGCCATGCAGTTTATGAATACCCTTGGAGCCATAGAGAGACCGAAGGGGAGCACTCTGTACTGGAATATTTGGTGCCCCATGGCAAAAGCAAGAAATCTCCTGTGGTCCTCTCGAATCCCAATATGGAAGTAGGCATCTTTGAGATCGAGGGGCGCCAGCCAGTGTTCTGCCTGAAATAGTGGTACAATGGAGGCAAGGGTTACCATGCGAAAACAATGATACATCATACATTTGCGTAAGTGACGTAAGTCCAAGATGGGCTGAAGCCCAGAGTCCTTCTTCGGTGCCATGAAGTAGTGAGAGAAGAAGCAGAAACAAAAGTTAACAGGGTCTACAGCAGGGGTAGGCAACCTAAGGCCCGGGTGCCAGATGCGGCGCTCTGAGGCCTTTGGACCAGCCCCAGGCCGGTCCTGCTGCTGCCCCGCCGCCGCCCGCCATGAAGATATTATTGTTGTTATTACTTGTTCTTGGGGTTTTTCTTGGCAAAATCTCCACAGGGGTTTTGCCATGGCTTTTCTAGGGATGAGAGAGTGTGCATGCATATTTTTTTATTTTTATTTTTAAATATTTTTTTTATTTTTTTTTAATTATTTATTTATTTATTTTTGGTGCTTCAGCCCCCCAATTGTCTGGGGGACAGCAACCCGGCCCCCAGCTCAAAAAGGTTGCCTACCCCTGGTCTACAGGCTCAATAGCACCCTTGGCCAATAGAGTGCGCACTTCGTCGAGCAGGGTGTCGGGGGAGTAAAGGCTCCAGTGGGCGGGAGCTCAGTGAACTCAAGGGCGTAGCCATTGGCGATGATGTTAAATACTCATGAGTACGATGTTATCTGAGACCAGGTGTTAAGGAATGGTCTCAGCCTATCCCCAAAGGGTTGGGAGACGGAGTGCATGGCCCCATTTCACAAGGCTTTCTTTGGGCAGCCAGTATCCTTCTTACGATGCCCTTGGTGGTATCACAACTGAGGGGGCTGGTGATGACCCTAGGAGGAGGAGGCCTGAGAGGGATGCCGGTGCCTGGGTTGGTCCTGTTGGAAATGTCTGTCCTGGGCATAATGTGTTGTTGGGCTGGGTACCAAGGACAGTGGCCTCCGAACGAGCGATGCTCGGGCTGGGAGGAGGATGAGGACATACCATGCTTCTGAGCCGTGGTCTTCATGCAGTATTGGAAGTTAAGTTTTTTGTCAGTGTCCTTATTGAAAAGCCTGGAGTCATGAAAAAGCATGTCTTCGATCATGTTCTTGGCATGCAGTATCAGGTCCGAGGATCTGAGCCACGTATACCATCTCAACGCCACCAAGATGGAGATAAGCTTGGCTGCACAATCAGCTGAATGTCGGGCCGATATGATCGGTTGACCCCCAATGGAATGAGTCTCAGCCTGAAGAGCCAGCGCCAGGGGTTTTTTTTTTATCATCTAGGAGATCATCCAGGAGGGGCAACATATGTTCCATCAAATATTGTTGATACACTCCCATGCAGGCCAAGTAGTTGTCAACCTACATGTCAAGGAGAAGCATAAAACTTCTTTGCCAGTCCATCGATTTTCCTATTTTGTCTGTCCACTGGAGATGTTGGGGTCTTCGGGGTGGACTGAATCTGTGCACCCTCAACAATAGCCGAGTTGGGTTTTGGGTGTTCAAAAAGCCATGAGAATGGCGAGGGAGCAATTCTGTACAAGTTTTCAATTTTTGGGGATGTGGATGGAACAGTTATCGATGTGGTCCAAGATTGTTGTTCAATTTGCTGTAAGAAAGGCAAAAAACCCAGGGCAGGCAGGGTGGGAACCTTGCCGTGGACTCTCTTCTCGATTGCATCGAGCGCCGCATCATCAGTTCTGACCACCTCAATCTCGAAAGCATTCCCCATCCAAACTACCTGGTCTGCAAAGGATTTGATATCATTGGTAGAAGAAACTGGAAGATGTTCCCCCAACAGGAGTGAAGACTGATGGTCAAACTCTGGAGATGGTAAGCAGGATGATTGAGAGTGCTGAGAAGGTGGAGACTGAGGGATTGCAGAGAAACAGAGTGGGACCGCAGAGGAGACCCCCAAGGAGTATCAGGAAGAGGCCTCTGTTGAAGAAATTGTCGACAAGGTGGAGGTGTTGAGGGGTCACGGCATGCAGATCTGTGCACTTGTGCCTGTACTATAGTAGTGTGAGATGGAGGTGGGACTGTCATATATTACTGAAGGGCCTTAGGATCAATGGGCATTAGATACTGTTGGGAGGCCTGGTCGAAGACCAAGTCTGGAAATGACTAAAGAAGAGGGCCCCTCGGTCCCAATGAGTGAGAGAGCCAATGGCATGATCCCAAGCTTGCTCCATCTGCATAAAGGATGAGACTTGGGGGGTCAAGACCGGAACTTTATTCCAAAGCTCTCCCTCCGACTTGGAGTTGACAATCACATGTGATTCCGGCAATACCGCAGTTGATGTCATGGTAGTAGGCACCCCCATTAAAGATGGCCCCGTTATTGAAAAGGACAGCCCCGGTATTGGAGGTGTCTGAGGCCTGGAGGCAGGAAGCATGGTCTCCTTGGGCCTAGAGCTCTCTCCCAAAGTGGGACGGGCTTTTTTGAGAGAGGGATCTCCAGACATCTCTCTCTCAGTTGAATGCCTCCTTTTTGAGACTTTTTTGGCCCGGTGCTCGTCCGGGGAACGGCCACAGTCCAAACGAGCTTTCTTCAGGGGATTTCCTTGATCCTTATCAGCCTTCCCCTCCAACTTAAAGGATTTTTTGTGAGGACTGGCTTTGTCCTTGTTGGGGTTCTCCACCACCAGAGAGATCCCATGAGCCGGGGTTGAGGCAGGCCTTAAGGCTTGTTCATACAAGGCTACCTTGAGTCTTTTATCTCTGTTTCTCAGAGCTTGGGCAATCATAGACCTGCAAAAGGTACAAGTTTGAGGCTTGTGACCCTCGCCCAGACACAAAAGGCAAGAAGAATGGGAATGCGAGCCTGGGATCTTACCCCCACCCTTTCCCCACTGCTTAAAGGAGTGGGAAGCCATTTTTAATAGCAACAAATCTAGTCTGAGAGGCAAATTCGAGGTCAGGAGGTCCAAAGTTGGTTGATTGGCGAACAGTAATATGAGTGTGCAATCCATAAAGCATAGTCAAACGAATCCAACACAGAAGCTCCTTCAAAGCTGCTAACGCAGCAGATGAAAGGAACTGAGAAAGAGCGGGATCGCTAGAGGGCTTTATAAGGATGAGCAGAGCTTCCACCAAAAAGCGGCAACTAAAGTTCTACGTAGCAATTTCAGAAGTTTCCGAAGTTGCTGTGCATGGGCATTTGTGTGATTCACAGAGACCATGAAGAAGAAAAATCTGTCTAAACATAATCAAGAGAGTCAATGTGGTGTATTGGTTTGAGCTTAGGACTAGGACTCTGGAGACCAGGGTTTGATTCCCTACTCAGCCTTGGAAACCCACTGGGTGAGCTTGGACAAGTCACACACTCTCAGACTCAGAAAACCCCATGATAAGTTTGCCTTAGGGCAGTGATTCCTAAACTTTGATCGCCAGCTGTTTTGGACTTCAGTCCCAGAATTCCTAACAATTGGCAAAGCTGGCTAGAGTTTCTTGGAGTTGAAGTTCAAAATATCTGGAGGACCAAGGTATGAGAAACACTCCCTTGGGGTCACCATAAGTTGAAAATGACTTGAAGGCACACAACAACAACAACAAAACATATTCAAGCACAATCTACAAATTAACATCATTGCTGAGCTTGGAATAAATCACTATTTTCAGGTTACAACTCCCAGAATCCTCCAGCCAGTAAACCTGCCCAGCTGTCTGGGTGATTCTGGAAGTTATAGGCTGCAGAAGTAATTTTTCCATGTTCTATATGTAATGGTTTCTTCATTATAGAATGGATTCCCTCCCTGCTCCCATTCAACTGAGCTCAATAAAGTATGACTTTTCCACCATCACATCCATACTCAAGCAGTATATACCTGGGATATTTAATCTTTATATTGGATAATTTTGCTATTGTGGTTTCATCAGCAAATTCCTCAATCTTCTCCTTCTTCATACGGATTATCTCAGCTCCTTTGCTGACCAACACCATAGTGCGGTTATCTTGCAGGTTTGTCTATGAAGAAGAGCAAATAATGCAAAGACTAGTTTTTGTAGCAGTGCAACCCTTGTGTGTTTGTGGAGTTCAGCTTAATTCAGAGCTCATCTTACTACGCCATGTGAATCTAACTGCTGAACATAAGACATTTTCTAGATCTATTGGATGTAGTTAAAAAGGTGAGACATGCAAAGAGTTCTGAGGGCAAACCCTTCCTCACAGATATTCTAGCCTTCATCCCTAAATGTTCAGCTTTGATTAATGGGGGGAAATGCAAATATCTAGCCTTTTTATTTGTAGTGATATAAGGGAGAACATTGAGGCAGTATCCATTTCTATTTTCCCCTAAATAAACTAGCTTCCTGTATTCTTCCAAATATTTACTAGAAAGGAAGCACTGAGAGTATCGGATGATGAGCACTAGGAAACTTTAAAAAATAAAATATAATGGAAGCCCAACAATAAATGAAGGGGGACCCAATAATGGAAATGTATTAAACCACTTTGATTTGGTTTATTTTGTCACTGCACACTGATCTGTTAAAGGAATTCACTATAAGAGAGCCAGGGTGGTGTAGTGGTCTGAGTGTTGGATTGGGACTCCAAACTAAGGTTCAGATCCCTGCTCAGACATGGAAACCCATTGGGTAATCTTGGGCTATTGCCCAAGATGGATGGACTCTATTAAGGGGGTCATGGGTATGGGTTTGCTCCACAAGCAGAGTTGTGGAGGACAGAGGGTATTGGAGATGTCTCATCCATAGAGTCGCCATGAGTTGAAATCGACTTGAGGGCAGTTAACAACAACAAACCCATTGCCATTTTATGTTACTCCAGTAATTCTCAAACTATGGGGTGGGATTGAGTGTGTGAGAGTTGCTCAAGGGAGGGGAGACTTGGAGACCCTGATCCCCCATTTCTCTTCTTCCCAAACTTTTTCTGTCCTGGGGGGAAGTGCAAGGCAAGGAGGGCATTTGCAGCAGCTGCCTCTGCCCAAAGGAGGAAGAAAACACAGCAGAAATGACTGTTTCTGTGTGACTGTGTGAGTGAAAGAAAGAATGAAAGAGCATGATTGTGTACCTATCTGTAAGCACTGGTACATGTGAGTGTGTGTGTAATGAGACAGTATGTTTCAAATTTACACATGTCTTAAGTATTGAATTCATTTAAATACAAATTCTAATTTGAATGAGGTTATTTCCTTTTGTTAAAATATGAATGTACATAAACATGCAAATGAAAATAGTCACACTAAACAAACAAAATATTTCTATTCATATACTATATGGGGAGGGGGAGAGGGCATGACATCCACATGTAGATGTGAAAGGGGTCACAAGGATAAAAAGTTGGAGAACCACTATGTTACCCTAATCATCAGTAATACATTAATGGTGTATTACCTTTTAGGAAGGCAATTTATATCCCAAAATTACAATGTGAATGTTGTTACCATTAAGTCAATTAAGAGTGATGTGGTTAGGCATGATTGCTTAAGAAAAGCAATAAGCACTGCATAACTCCTCCTGTGGCCCCCAAGTAATGTGATACATGAAGCATAATGATGTTGCTTTTACTGAGTTACTTCCCAGCTCTGACCATTCTGCAGACCCACTACCATCATAAATCTCTGGCAACTAGGACTTTACTCCTTCATGTATTCTCCTTCATGGAGGGAGGGAGGGAAGAGTGAAGCCTGATTGAAGCAAAGAAGGGCTTCTCCCTCTGGAGTTTTGGCCAGAGACTGGATGATATCAGCAGGTACCTGGGGCCATCAAAACCAAAAAATGTTTCTTAGCACTGCTTTAGACCCTCCATCACCACCACCACCACCATCAAATGAGTACCTACAGGCCTATATACTCACAATGTATTCTCCTTTATGCAGTTCATCCATTCTCATATATACTGCTGCTGAAACAGAGGCTGGCATCTCTCCATAAGATGTAGAGTAAGTCAACATCTTTTCAAATGCTCTTCCTGATATAATCTTTTGAACTGTCTCTTGTTCATCTGGCAGATGATGTTGTTCCTCTTGAAATGGACTAGAAATTGCAAAAGGAAGCTCATAGGTCAATGCTTGCATGCCTTTAACAATTTAGTGTTGCACTATTTTGATAAATGTAGTATTTTTTTTTCTTCTAAGAAGAAAATGCAATGTGGAAACTACACTCTTATTCAACACCAGACACTTTCAGAATTATTAGATCTTTGATCTTATTTTCTTTAATCCCTGACTTTAGAATAAGAGTAGGGAATATGTGACCCTCCAGAAGCCACTGGACTGCCACTCCCATCAGTCCATGCCAGTTAAGGAAGAGGCATCAGTCTCTCTTGGTATGAACATCACCCTCTCCCCCAACACAGCATTAAACCATCCTTTCAGTCATCTCCACCCTGTGGCCCTGGCTTCCAGCCTCTTCATGGCCATGCCTCTGGCCTACATTCCCTACATCTTAGATGTATAAGACACAAACTCCATAGCAGCCTGTCTTAAGCTAGGTCCCAGATCTAACAAGCTCTGGTAAACCATGCACAGAATATTACCTACATCCATTATAGTATGCATTAGCCTACTTATTATCTCCCAAGGATGACACTAACCCAATTTTATTCTGAAATCATTTGGAAGCAAACTTTTCAAATCATGACACTACTCACTATTTAGAAAAATAAAGCCTGGATTACCACATTGTAAATAAATTAAATAACATCTTTCTGGGTTTCCTTCTCCTTCCTTCCTCAGCAGCAGAACATCTTTAAGAAAAGACTCTCTTCTCACCTCGTCTCACAGGTATTCACCGCTATCACTACACTTTTATGATCCTTGAGAGAACTTTCCGCTCTGTAGCCATCCTGTTGACGAGTATAATATTCTTTCAACTCACTCAGCTTATGCCCAGGCTTAGAGTAGGAACTCCACATGGTGCTTTTGAATCTGTCCACACAAGCAATCTCTGGAAAGAAAGAAAGGAAGGAAGGAAGGAAGGAAGGAAGGAAGGAAGGAAGGAAGGAAGGAAGGAAGGGGCACTCTTGTAACTAGGCATGCGACAAACAAAAAACAAAAGCAGCATCACTTTTTATTTTAACATGTACAGAACTTGCAAATAACTCACTGTGATGTTCCCCATAATGAGGTACATTTCAGAATAGCAGCTGTTAACACTGCTACTTCCCCCAAAGTACTGGCACTAATGTGAAACGTTCCCTGGGGCAGAGGCATAATTAAGTAATTTTTACTTGAAATGCTGCAATGTTAGTGGAGAGTTCTATCATCCACACTACCACTGCCCAGAAAACAATTCACTCCCTCTATCTCTTCCCAAGATATATGGGACATGCATAACTATTTTGCAAGGCCAACAGCATATTAGGAAATGTCCTAGAAATGCTAATAGTCTTGTCAAGAAGTCAAGAAAGAAAGTTGTTCATGTGCTTTACTATTAGTGAAATTTTTGGGACTCTATTATGCTATAGCCCTCCAGTACTATGGCTCTATAGCAAGCACTATAAAGCAATATGAAGATGATGGAACAAAATGTTATTAGCATGTTTTATTACCTCTTACATATGGGTCATGGTAATAAAACAATTAATATGCTGCTCAACAGTGAAATAATGTCCAAAGAATAAGACATTACTTTTTAAAGGAACTTTGCCTAGCCCTGGCTACAGATATTTTAAAGGTACCTTCTATAATCTGCTATCCTCCAGATGTGTTGGACATCATCCACAGCAAAAGAAAGACTACAGTGTAGATATGTTCTTGAAAGTGCCATATTAGAGCTTTATCACACCAGCCTGCTGTCCTACCACAATCATGCTAGTTTTAGAATAGAAGCATACTGGTTTGGTATAATTTGTTATCACACTTTCCCCCAAAATAGCATTTTAGTGATCCATGGTCATATGATCTGTTTTCTGCACTGCTAAGAGAGGAAACAATCAATCGTATCTGCCAACCGCCTCCCAAAGTCAGCAGCTGTGTGAATGTGCACACAGCAGCTGGCTTAGGGAAGGTGTTGGCAGCTGTGATTGCTGCAAAAGGGAGGGGAGAGGAGGAGAGGAGCAGAATCACGCTGACTTACACCACAGGACTGCCTGAGAACTGCCGCGGAAGGGACCTATCGCACAAAGGCAGTAATGGAATAGCAGTGGGATTGAGAGCCTATTGATGTGTTTTGCCTGTCAATGAAAAGGTGCACTAAAGTAACAAATGGAAGGCAAGACAGCAGCAGGACAGCACTGTGTGGTAAGTATTGGCCAAGGATGCTTTTATCCTGTTAAAATTCTGCTTCTATAGCCTCATGTGATAAAGTATGTAGATCCATAATAGAAGAAATGTGGGGCATATGTGAAATATAGATGTACATTTAAAAGCAAGATTATGAATTGCTTAAAATCAGTGTGTTTATTTTTGTTGCTCTGCCTTCCAATTAACAAATGAACAACAAAATAAACAACCTAATTTTGCTTATACATTTTTTTCTCTGCTGAGACTGCTTCCTGTTGGGACCAAGAGAGAGGTCTGAACCAGATAGCATGTTGGCAACAGTGAAGCGTTTGTGACATTCATATATACAAATCCAAAATCTAATATACCAGCATGCAAACGGCGCCTTTCCTTTATCTGTAATTTACGTTTGGGAAAACACAGTTGCTTAGAAAGCCACTTGTGATAAGATGGACAAGTGGTGAGGTCAACCAGTCGCAAAACCTCACAAACGCCCTGTTGAAACAAAAAGAAAACAAAAAATGGTTGAGTTGATACTGTGGACCCATAACCAATGATTTTGTGGCAAAAAGCCTCAGCTAGAGGCGTTAACAGCACACCTTTAAATCAGCCTTTTCCAATATGGTGCCCTCTGGAAACATTGAACTACAACTCCTATCATCCCCAAAGCATGGCCATAGCTTTAAACACATATAGGTTGTAATATTAATAAAAGGGTGTAGTTCCCCTTCTCCAGTCATAAAATATATCCCCCCCCAAAAAAATTGTAGAACTGAAAAATAAATACCTATGTGCTTGCAATTGCTTCCAATATTTTTGCACTCACTGGCCTAAACAAGGGAGGAGTAATGTGTATTTTTTGCTCAGCACTTAAGTACAAGGTTACTTGTATGTCTTCTCACCATACATCTCTCTAAATAAAAGCTGCACATTAATAATAATAATAATAATAATAATAATAATAATAATTTTTTTTTTATTTATAACCCGCCCCTCTGCACAGTAATCGGGGTGGCTTACAACAGATTAAAATACAACAGTTAAAACATACCATCTCCCCACAACCTCCACCCGCCTCCCACACTCCTTAAAACTGAATTAAACTTGGAGAGAATTAAAATATAACAAGTATAACAGTTAAAAAGATCAATAAATAACAAGAGCAGCCATAGTACCATATTCGGCAGAGAGATTGGGGGGAGAATAGAATCCAAATATACTCTTCCCTCTGAGGGCGTTATTCCGGGAAGGCCTGCCGGAAGAGATCCGTCTTTACTGCTTTCTTGAAAGCAGCAAGTGTCGTAATAAGACATTTGTGTAGCCTTCAGATGCAGGTGGACTGTAACTCTCAGAAATCTTAGCTATTATAGTTAGAGATAAGGAATATTGTGAGTTGTAG